ATCCCCCAGCACCACATGCCAGCCAGCCCCGCCCCCTGGTGGGCTGAGCTGGCCACACACACACACAAATAAATAAATAAAATTAAAAAAAAAATTTTTTTTGGGTGCTAGGTTTCTTGTCCCAGCAACCAGAGAAAGACATCATCCCTACAGGAAACACTTCTATTTTGAGTTGAGCAGTTAAATTCAAGGCCACACACATGTTAAGTAAGAGCTCTATCACCAAATCATCGCCAGCTCTGAAATTAAGTATTTATAGGGAGAGGCAGCTATAGGTTTTGTGTATTTACATTTACTAGACCTTTATGTATAGTTATAGTTGGGATCCAAAATGTCCGCTATGAAGACCCACTGTGTAAAGGCAGGGCTTAGTGGGTTTCTGAGAAGGGACTGGAAGACTCTGACTTCATGAGTGGATTAATTCACTGACGAGACCCTGATTTGCTGGCAGTATTAGGAAGTGATGAAATAGGAGATGGGAGTTTAGCTGAAGTGAGTGAATCACAAGAGCACAGCCTTAGTGAGTTTGTTCTCTCTGCTTCCAGGCTGCTGCAAGGTGAGCAGCTTTCCGCCACCATGCTCTTGGACCATGATGTCCTGTCTCACCTCAGCCCAAAGTAATGAGCCACTGGACCACAGACTGGCTCTGGAACTCTGAGCCAAAAATAAATCTTTCCTCTTTTCAGTTGTTTTCCTCAGGTACTTTGTCACAGGGATAAAAGGCTGACTAACACATTGATGATACAGATTTTTTTTTTTTTTCTGGCAGAACCGGGGATTGAACTCAGATCCTTGAGCTTACCAGGGAAGCACTTATTCTACTGAGCCATCACCCCGGCCCCAGTGATAATAGATTTTGTAGTTACATTAGACTTAACAGACTCAGAGGAGGTAAAGCCAATGGCTGCTAAGTGGCACTTGTGGAAACTAGTTAAAGAAGTTCTACAAAAATATTTTAGTGAAGAGTTATTTATTGAAGGTCTAAAAGAAATCAGAGGGGGCCTGGCTCTAGCTCAGTCCTTTAACTGGCTGCTTCCACAAAGCTGTCGGCCTCAGGTTCCTGGAGTTCGAACCTCACAACTCTCCCGCTGGCCAGAAGTGCCCTGAAGGCATTCGAGGAAGAAAAAAAAAAATAAAACCCTTAAAAGAAAACAGAAGAGAGACAGAAAACATTTGTAGAAATATTCTAGATGTCTGAGGTTCTTTAAGAAGGCAAAAAAAATTAACGAATAATGACAATCCACTTTGTCTAGCCAAACTGTCAACTCAATCTGAGCTAAGTGCACACAGAAGGGGGACACCTTCAAAGAACTGCATCCAACTATGGAAACCTACCCACAAGTCATCTAAGGATACATGTTTGTTTTTGTTTCTGATTTGGACAGTTTGACTGTATAGTTCAAGCTGGTGTAGAACTCACTATGTAGGCCAGGTTAGCCTTGAACCTGCAGCAATCTGCCTGCCTTAGCCTCCCAAGTCTTGGGATTGCGAGCATGTACCGCCACACCCAGCTTCTAAGGGTACTCTTGAAAATGGACAGATGCTTCACCAACCCAAGGCAACCCACAGCCAAAAAGGAGAATGAACTAGGTATCACTCTGAAGAACCAGACACAAGTGTAAACTCTTGGCATTTGCTAAGCTAAGCACTGACTGCTCCAACTTTTAACTTTCTGAATTACTTCAAGCTACTCTTTTTAATGCTAGAGATGGGGCTGAACATAACAAAAACCAGCCAATGTGCCTATAATCCCACCTCTTGGGAGGCTGTAAACAGGTGGATCACTACAAGTCCAATCTAATAGTGAGACCCTGAACACCCTGAAGACCCTTCCCTATAAAAATACAAAACAAAACAAAACAAAAACCCAGCCAAAGGCTTCAACCTGTGGGACTAAAACACAGTTCTCCCCTCACACATCTAGTTTAGTTCTCACAGATCAATTAAGAGCAATGAAAAATAACGTTACCATGAAAATCTTAAAATTAAATTTCTACTCCAAATTTAGAGTTGTAATTCTGGAGGCTCTGAAGTGCAAGAATATTAATTCTATCTGTTATATGGGAGCTTTAACAAAGGTGTTGGGAAGAGAAAAAAGGCACAGAAACTGAAGTCAGGAACGTGATAATGGCCTATGATGAACCAAACACAAACAAGCACTTTATATATTACTGCTTTTAGTGCCCTGATGAGTGTCCACGTTACCAGCAGAAAGGCCAATGCTCACAAAGGGAAAGTGCTTGGTGCTGGTTTTAAGGATGGAGCTGAAATTCAAACTCAGATATGACCTTAAGTCGAATGGTATCTCCACAAGTGAGAAAAAGATAAAAACATCATTTGCACTTGGCTTATTCTTTCATATATGAACTTCAGTAACAGGTATCTTTATCTAATGCCTACAGACAAGACACTCAACACTAGGGGGAGGTAAGTTAGCTCACCTCTCGTGCATCTTTATCTGGGATTAGTGTCTGGAAGAAGAGGTGATGGACTGGAGGTCGCAAGAAGTACTTCATTCTATGCAGGCATGGTCTGTTGTATATTCTGCCTTGTAATGTTTGTGCTTGTACCTGGACAGACCTGGCACAGGCAGGCTCTGACAATGACATCTCTTTTCTGACTGATGTTTCTCTGACACAAAGCTGAGGAACTTTCTCTAAGGAAGTTTCAGGCTGTGGAGATGGTGGGCCGGGGGAGCAGCTTGTAGAGGATGGAGTTGAGATATCCATAGGACTGTCACAATTCTGTGTATCATTGTGGGGGGAGTCAGGTCTGTCTTGTGGTAAGTCTCCTGGTTTACATGGCATGTCTCTTGATAAGCATTGCACATTTTCAGATGAATGTACTGTATCTGGCAAAAGTAGTGCACCTCTGGGTGACTGTGACATATTGCCTGGTGACTGTGTTATGTTGCCAGGTAACTGTGGTATGTTTTCCAGTGGTTGTGGCGCATCTCCCAGTGACTGTGACATATCTTGCAGTGACTGCACGTTGTGCTGGTATGCCACATCTTGTGGATACAATAGGTTTTGAGGTGGGCCTGGTACATCTTGAGGTAGGCCCAGAGAACCTTGAGGTGGGCTCAGTGAACAATGAAGATGCCATGATGAGTCTTGAGATAGGACTGGTATATGCTGCTGAATGCAGGGCACATCTTGAGGAAAGCATGGCACCTCTTGAGGTGGGTGAGGCAAGGCTGGGAGCTGGCCCTGAGTGGTTTGTGATGGGCATGACAAGGCTTGCGGTGGGCAGGAGGAGGCTCGTGGTGGGCATGGTGAGGTTCTCTGTGGAGATGGCAAGGTTCGCAGGGAGCATGGCAAGGGTGCCCTTTGATTGCTGCTGTAGCCATTATTGCTTGTTGGAGAAAAGGGGCTAACATCTGAAGACAGCTGTGTGCTTGCCAAGAAGCTGAGGTTACCTAGGAATGTAGCTGAGCTACAATTTGGCTCTTCTGGATAAAGAGAGTTCTGACTGATGGATGCAGGGGGTTGAGGATCTTCAAAAGTAGTTTCTTCCAACAGATCCAAATCCACAGGATCATTATTAATGATTCTTCGTGCTATAGGCCAAGAGCTTCTATTCCCTCGAGGTTCTATTACCTCTTTGCTAGACAGGCTGGCACATGTCTGAAGACTGAATGGTTCCTTCTGAGAGGGAATAACAGATTCTAAAGTCAAATCAAGAGTGTCAAAAGGTCTATCTTCTTCCTCACTTTTTGTCAGGTCAATCACAGAGAGCCCACTGCGATCCTTTGCCCTTGGTCTGGTTTCTCTAGTTAAATCAATGAAGTCCTGTTGAAAGGTTATGAGAAGAAAAGCATTAAGGGAGATACAACTTTAGCTAAGAAGAACTTAAATTTTGGCTATTAAGAATGTGTAGGGGCTGGAGAGATGGCTCAGTGGTCTAAGGCACCTACTTAGAACAAGCTTGGCAAAG